TACTGTACTGTGACCGTAATCATACTCTAACCAAATTCTAGTGCCCCATTGGTTCACCAAAATTGTGCAGGCCAGGTCCCACTCATACAAATCCGCTCTAACACAAAAAAATACAAAAGCTAGTCCACCAACACAGTAGACCAGTGCTCTACCAAGTGAGCTAATAGAGCGGATTTCGTATGAGTGGGACACCGTTACCGCTCGGTTACCGCACAGTTACCGCACCTGATGGCCTGCACAATTTTGGTGAACCAATGGGGCACTAGAATTTGGTTACAGTACGATTACGGTCACAGTACAGTACCGTCCGTTTCCCACTCATACGAAATCCGCTCTATATGGCATAAACTTTAATAAGGGTGAACACGTTTACCTTCATTTCTCTTTGGAGTAACAGGAGCCATTGGTGGTGGCATGACTATATCTGCTTTGGACGGTGAACTTGGTGCACTGCTGGCAATTGTTGACGCTCTTGGCTTACGAACAGGTTCATCATTAGATCCAACACTTCCCAGGACTGCACGTCGACCTCTACTACCATTCCTGTATGGTGCTGGTTTGGGCGGTGGAAGCACAAACTCTACATCTTCTCTTTGACCATTGATAGTTTTAGGAATTACATTTGGATGCTGAGGAGTTGAGGGCTTTTATTAGCAATGAGGTTTTTGAACTCAACAACAGTGGGCTAGTTGTGTTGAGGGTAATGAGCACTAAATCCTAAAGACTCCTTGCAGTTTAATGGGAACGCAGCTCTAACTAGAGGACAAAACAATGCATTCCAGTTCCCAAGAGGATAAAATCTATTGTTTTGTCTTTCATATGAAGCTTTCTTGAAGTCAGGCTTGTAACGAGGTGTATTTTTTTGCTGTTGATCCAGATCAAAAGGCTAAAAACGTGATCCAGATCCAAAAACTCCGTACACTGATCCCTGATCCYCTTATAGAATCATTGAAAAAAAATCATTGATCCCGATCCCAGTTGAAAAACCTTTGATCCCACAGGTTAAATCCATTTGATCTGGATCCTGAGCCTAAATCCTGATCCCTGATCTCAATATAGCCCAAAAACTGACATTGATCCTGATCCCAATACCTCGTTACTATGCAAGGTACGGTCTATAATACAAAATGTAAGAAGAGGATAACTTTAACTGGTGGATTAGTTTATCCACTGTTTGTACAACAGGAAATACACTTCTAAGACAGCTTTCGATGATATTTCAAAATTAAAAGCTGAACATTACAATAAATCTTACCTCATTTTCTTTAGATTCATTGAAGTTTTGGAGGACTCTATAATAATAAGTATAAACTATTACTAGTAATTCATCTAATCATGTATAAACAATAGTAAGAAAATCTTTGGAAATTTGCAATTTTGTAAGAAAGGCTCTAGATATCACCCAGCTAGTTGGGGTAACACAAATATTTTGTCATTGGTGAAGCTGACARAAATTGCTGGGGTTTCAAGGCCAAAAGGACTATTTTAAGGACTATTAGAGGAGAAAGACAGTAAAGAATAAAAGAAACCAAGCTGGCTGGGTAAAACATAACAAAGTGGATGGCAGCAAGAAATAGAAAGGAATGGAGGGAGAAACCTTGAGGGAATGCAGACATTGTGCACCTTATGACATGCACAGAAATGATGATTCRATAAATATTATGAGATGTTATACATACTTAGAATACTTTGGAAGCAAGTGAGGACGCTGGCCATTCATTTTCTTCTTCTTTAACAAGAAGTACATGGCAGTGATTGCATCATACTTCCACTGCAAGGAAATATAAGTTTACATGTCTTGAACATTAATCAACAACAAAATGAAACGATAATAAAAGAATACAATGTGCTAAATGTTACTGAAATCATACAAATTACAATATTATGTTTTCTATTCTGACACTCAGGGTTTATTCTACATTATTATCACGAAAGGTTTTCAAGCACTTTTAATGCATGAAAATTGAATTTTCAGGAACTACATTGTATTTTTTAAATCTTGTTGAGACTGTTTCTG